TAATAATAATAATAATAATAATAATAATAAAGAGGGAAAAAAAGGAAAAAACCTCCACCAAATTCTTAGGGCTGGACCTCGTGGTGGTGCACGCCTTTAATCACCAGCTCTTGAGAGGTAGAGGTAGGTAGATCTTTGTGAGTTGAAGGTTGGCCTGGTTTATAATAGTGAGTTCCAGGAAGAGAAGAAAAGAAGAAAAGGGGAAAAAGGAAAAAAGAAAAAGATACCTCAGCAGGCGAGGGCCCTTGCCACTGAAGCTGATTGAGTTCCAGCTCAGAACTCAGGGTTGGAATGAGCTGTCCTCTGCAACAAGTTCTCTCCTCCCCATGGGAACATTTAAAAATGTATATTGATTTTTTTGAGACTTGCTCTCATTGTGTTGCCCAGGGTAGACTTGAACTCATTATATAGAACAGGCTGTCCTCTAACTTACAGAAATCTGCCTTGCTTCTGCTTCCTGAATGCTGAGTTAAAAGTTGTGCTTCCTCATGCATATAAAAAATATGCATGGACATATTTGTGGTATGTACCATGTTCACAAGTGCGTTAGAGGTTGTAGTAGAGTTTTTTGTTTTTTTAACTGAAGCAGGGTCTCTTGCTATGAACCAGAGCTCACTGATTCAGTCTATAGTTAGCTTCTCTGAGGTGTCCCCTTTCTCTGCTTCTGGAACTGGAGTTTCAGGCAGATGAACTACCTCCACTCAGCGCTGGAAATGGAACTGAGCTAGCTCTTCAGCTCCCCTGCGCAGGTTTTGTACGTGCATGTAAATACAGCTTCTGTGAGGACGTGTGCGACCGCTGCATCACCTCCAGTAGACAGCATTTCACAGCTCTGCTCCCATTCACACGCTGCCAGTTCTTAAATTCTTCTGAGTTGTGCGGTTGGTGTAGACCATCTGAACTCATTTATTGTCAGCGTTTTGACTGGTTGTGGATCCCAGCAGCGACCTCTACATCAATCAACGTTCGTGCTGCATAAAACCGCTTCTCTGGCCAGTTGAGAAAAACCACAAATCAGATATAAATAAGTACAATACTTATAAGTCAACTTGACAGCATAACCTTTTCACACCAGCACTCCTACAGGTACCAACAGGCCTAATGAAATCACTGGGGTCACAACAAATAAGCTCCAAACTAAAGAGCAGTTTAATAAAAGATTCTAGAGTTTCCAGCTCTACAATACCATCTCGCAGCAAAAAAGAAGCATCAAGAAAAAGAAAAACAGCAGTAACTAGACAAGCACTCTTATATTTAAGTCTTTTCCCTTACACAACTTAGAAGTCTAACGTTATACAGTAAAACCAGGGGAGAGCGCGAACGCAGTCCCCCACTACCACAAATTATGCAGTCGAGTTTCCCGCATTTGGGGAAATCGCAGGGGTCAGCACATCCGGAGTGCAATGGATAAGCCTCGCCCTGGGAAAACCACCTTCGTGATCATGGTATCTCCCCTGCCAGGTAAGTATGAGTTGCATCTACCCCGCGCGCGCTCTCCCTCATTATAGACTTACTCTCTACTTACGGTCTGTTTTTTACTGATCCTCCTCTCCCTCACATTCCCTTGGTCTAATAGTGAACCCTAAAACCACCCTGTACATAAGTGAATATTATCCATTAACAGTATGGGAAGCCTTCTTGCGGGGAACCTGCATCCTCTGCGTGCATGTCATTTACATACACCACGCCTTTGTTGTGACGTTGCAGGAATGCGTGCTAAGGCCCCGCCCACTAAGGGTGGCGGGGCGAGGCTTGTTATTGATTGAGGGTCAAGTCTGGAAACAAAAGGGGCGGTGAAAACCTGTCTTTGAGGCTCAGGCTCTGGGCAAAAAAGCAGCTCTAGCTCATCGTTTCCGCCAGCGGAGGGAACTCATCCTCACAGTTCAGTTCTAGGAGATTCACCCCTGTAATGTTTAACTGCCGATAGAAAATCTTTTTACTTTTGCATAGTATTTTTCTAGGTAGGTCTACCACATATCACTTATTTGCATACAAACCACTAAGCCTAATAAAAACCTGGGGAGAAAGGCCAAGATAACAACTTGGAAGAAAGAAATCAGAGTGCACGGTGGCGCACAATTGTAATCTCAGGGCTCCGCAGGTCAAGGCAGGCGGAGCAAAGTCAGCCTGGGCTGTGTAGCGAGTTCTAGGTCAGACTGGGCCAGTGAGACCATCTCAGAGGCTAAATAAAGCGACAGCAACAACAAAAATCCATAAAAAGGCAACTGCTGTTTTCAGCGGCAAAGAAAACGCAGAGCCAAGCTGATCCCCGACCCTCCTCCGGTGCCCGTGCCCTGGGACGCCCTGCGCAGGCGCGCACAGGAAGGGCTCGCATGACCAGCGGAAGTGGAGAGTCGGGACGCTTTAGGGGAGGTACCCGCGGAGTACACAGACACCCGGACCTGCAGGGGACCGCGTAGGCCTCCCTAGGCCGCCATGAACCGGCTGCAGGATGATTACGATCCCTACGCCGTGGAAGAGCCGAGCGACGAGGAGCCGGCTCTGAGCAGGTGGGCCGCTGCCCCGCGGTGTCCGCCCGGCCCTGGCCCGAGGCCGTCGTGCTCGCCGAGCCTGGGTACACTGTTCCCGCTTCACTTGTAGGAGCCTCAGGGTGCCTGGTGGGGCTGCTCAGTCTCTGGGGAACCGGGATGGACAGCAGTGCGGGAAGAGGGATGTTCCAGAATCCCGGGGGGCCCCCAAGCGTAAATCTCAGCTGGAACCCTGCTCCTTAGCGTTTGCTAGCACTGTGACTGAAGGCAAGTCAGTTCTCCTCAGCTTCGCATCTGTAAATGGAAATACAAGTGTGGGACTCGTGAGGTCCACAGGCCTCAGTACTCATCTGGAAGACTGTCAAATAGAAATAATGGAGCAGTGAACGGGGAATTTCTTTTGGCTTACGATAAGAGATACAAAATACACAATTCTTGTCTTCCATTGGTTTACGTTATAAATAGGGGAACTGAAATGTGGAGAAGATGATCTCTGACAGGCATAAATGAAGGTCTGTGGTACTTTTGGAAAGGGAGTATTTATCCTACCTGAGGGAACTTGGAATGCTTTTACTTATATGTAAAACATGTTTTTTTTTTTTTCCCGTTTTTAAAAACCTTGCCGGATATTAAACCCAGGGAATTTTTTAAATCTATCTGTTTCGGTTTTTTAATTTTAGTTTTGAGACAGGGCCTCAATGTGTAGCTCTGCTTGGCCTGGAACTTGCTCTATAGACCAAGTTCATTTTGAACTCAAGAGACCCACTTGCCTCTCTGCTTCCAAGTGCTAGGGTTAAAGTCGTGCACCCCCCCCACTAGCCAGTTTACTTGTTTACTCCTTTATTAACCTAGATTCTAGAGTAGTGGTTCTCAACCTTCCTGATGCTGGGGCCCCTTAATACAGTTCATGCTGTGCTGACCTCAACCATAAAATTACTTCATTGCTTGGCAGGTGTTCGGTGTTTCGTGGGTTGGTTAAAGGAAGAGGATCACTCCTAGATGAATTTTAGGTTTTCTGGCAGCTGGGAGGAACAGTTTCTGTGAACTGAACTCCAAACATTTGTGCAAAGTTGTATTTGATTGTTACACAAAAGGTGTTTTTTTTTGTTTGTTTTTTTTGTTTTTTGTTTTTTTTTTGTTAAAACAAGTTCCTTATACCAAAGTCCCTAATATAGTCATATGTCCATGTCCTTCTGAAGAAAAGCATCACACATGTGCCACTTTAGTCCTTATTGTTCACTGTATTATTGGGTATTGCAGTACCCAGTAATCCAAATTATCCAGGTGTGCCAGGACAGTCTTGTGACCAAAGTCATGCAAAGACTGTAAAGCTCTTTCAGAAAAACAACTCTATAGATAACAGCAAACAATCACTGTTTTTTACAGTGATTTCTTCAAGGTCTCAGTACTTCTAGAAAGCAGCTATTCTGAAGTTTATCTTCAATACAGTGAAAAACAACTGTTTCATTCTAATGTTTACCTTAGATACAATGATTCTACTAATTTTTCTTGCTATATTTCTACTTTATAAATAATCTTGCTACTGTTATGAATCATACTATAAATATCTGTATTCAGGGTATCTGATATGTGACTCACGAGGAAATTGAGAACCATTGTAGAAAGGGCATGTGGGTGCTGGGAGGGGAGCTAGATATGAACATGCACACAGTAAGTCTGTTACAAGCTAAACCATCTATTTAACTGCTATATGTTGATATATTAACTGTATATTAATTGTATCTCTCTCTCTCTCTCTCTCTCTCTCTCTATATATATATATATATATATATATATATATATATCCTAAATAAAACTCTCAGTTTTGTGAAGTAAGTTTTTTTCAGTTGATAGAATTATGAATTGGTACAAATATTGAAAATCAATGTGATAATACAAGAAGTCAGAAAGAGGGACAGAAAAGATGGCTCAGGGGTTAAGAGCACTGGCTGTTCTTCCAGAGGACCCGGGTTCAATTCCCAGCACCTACAGAGCTGCTCACAACCATCTAACTGTAGCTTCAGTTCTACGGGATCCAGTGCTCTTTTCTGGCCTCTATGGGCACCAGGCAACACAATTGATGCACAGATACACATACAAACAGAACACCCCCACCCCCACACACAAACGAAAGAAAGAAAGAAGCCAGACAGTGGTGGGACACACCTTTAATCCAAGCACTCAGGAGGCAGAGGCAGGTGGATCTCTGGGTTCAAGGCCAGCTTGGTTCTGCAGAGTGAGTTGTCGGACTACACAGAGAAATCCTATCTCACAAAACCAAAACAAACAAGCAAACAAAAAGTAACCAACCAAACAAATAAAAAACCCAGAAACCCGCCCCCTGAAAATCGGAAGGATTAGCTGATCTATTGTTTATTAATGATTATTGCTGCATGTAATGTGATAGGTATATCAGATGTAAATTTGTCAAATTTACATTTGCTATTAAAATGATAGAAGTTTTAAGTGATTTTATTTTGTTTTGTGATGCTATATTTTTAACCTAGGACCTTGCACATTTTATGTGAGTATTGTACCACTGAGCCACAGCCTAGCCGTGATTTTAATATTCAGGGCTAGAGAGATGGCTCAGTGGTTAAGAGCACTAGCCACTCTTCCAGAGAGGTCCTGAGTTCAATTCCCATTTGTAGTGGGATCTGATGCCCTCTTCTAGCCTAAAGGCATACATGGAGATAGAGCACTCCTGTACATACTCCTGTAATAAATAAATTAAAAACAAAGAAAAATACTTTAGTATTCATATTCCCTGTCTGTTATGTTAGTTCTGAAGATGAAGTGGATGTGCTGTTACATGGAACTCCTGACCAAAAACGAAAACTCATCCGGGAATGTCTTACTGGAGAAAGTGAATCATCTAGTGAAGATGAATTTGAAAAAGAAATGGAAGCTGAATTGAACTCTACCATAAAGACAATGGAGGATAAGCTGTCCTCCATGGGGACAGGTAAACTGTGGGCTCAGTTCTCACAAGACACCCTGTAAGGGAGTGAATGAGTGTATATATGTGTGTGTGTGTGTGTGTGTGTGTGTGTGTGTGTGTGAATGACGGGTAGTGATGGGAGGTAAACCTGGGTCTTGTGTTTGTTAGGTAAATGTTCTACCACCGACTTCTAGCCCCACCTCCTTTAAAATTTGAGACAGGGTCTGGTTAGTTATTCAGTCTGGCCTTGAACTCACTATAGCCTATGTGATCCTTTTGCCTCGATTCTTGAGTGTGAACAGGCCTGATTAATACAATCCTTACTAAATGAAGAAATGAATGTACTTGACAATCTGCCCGAGTTTTCCACTGACTAACACGTGTCATGTGTTATTGGAAAGATATTATTTAATAACAAATACATGTATTATTTCCTTTTGTAGTTTTTAACACATGTGGGCATAGTGGCCCACACCTTTACCCCCAGCATTTGGGGGCAGAGAGAGGCGGATCTTAGAGTTTGAGGCCAGCCTGTCTACAGAGTGAGTTCTAGAACAGCGAGGGCTACACAGAGAAGCCCCGTCTCAAAAAAACCTAAAGAAAAACAAGGCATACGAAAAATTGTAAGGTTTAATGGTATGTCACTACAGATTCCTGTCCGTTTGTAGTGACTAATAAGCATATTTCATTTTTAGATTTTTATGTAAAAGTTACTTGACCCAGAAATTGGTTTGTGGAAGTAGGACTGCTCGGAACTGGTTTTCACGTTGGTGTGTTTATAACTTGAGGAACTGAAAGATATAATTGACGCAGAGGAAGAATCAGGGACACAGGCATGTGAAGACAAGCTGGAGAGAGGAAGTCTGTTCTTGGTCCATATCCCTGTCTTAACATCCCTTGAAACAAGACATCCCTTCCCTGTTCTCCATGGAGTATTTGTATTATGCATGAAAAAGTAGAAGTATATATGCTGAGAACCAGGAAATCTGCATTTAAGTTTTAATTAGATTTGTGGGAAGGGAGAAAGAACAATTTTCTCCTAATTTGGAAAACTTGTCCAGGAGTGATTCCCTATGGGTACATAGGGCACAGATACCAAGTAAGTCACTGGCATAAGAATATTTTACTATACAAATGAGATTGTGAATAAATTAATATTGTTTGTGTAATAGAAGTATATATACAGGCTCTTTGTTTCCTCAAGGACCATATGTGGTTTAGTTTCTAAATGTCACTTGTGGTTTAGGAGGGTCTTCGGCAGTTGGGAATGTTGGAGGAGTTACAGCAAAGTACTATGATGACATTTATTTTGATTCCGATTCTGAGGATGAAGACAAAGCAGGTGAGTACCTTTTTGTTTAGCAGGTGTATTTTATGAATATTATCTGCCTTGACAGTTATTTAATATTAGATTTTCCATCTGAATTTTTTTAAATTTTATGTTAATGGGTGTTTGGCCTGCATGTATTGTCTGTGCACCATGTTCATTCCTGGTGCCTTTGGAGTCCTGGAGAGGGTGTTGAATTCTCTGGAACTGGAGTTATAGATGTTTGTGAGCTGTGGGACCAGCAGGGCAGAAACCTCCATCTTCAGTGAGCCACACCATGTAGGTGCTGGAAATCTAACCTGGGTCCTCTGGAAGAGCAGCCAGTGCTCTTAACTGCTGAGCCGTCTCTCCAGCTCTTCTCTTAAGTTATTTTTAAGAAACTATAGACTGTTGGGTGGTGGTGGCACACACCTTTTATCCCAGCACTGGGGAGGCAGAGGCAGGTGGATCTCTGTGAGTTCAAGGCCAGCCTGGTCTACAAAGTGAGTTCCAGGCCAGGCTCCAAGACTACACAGAGAAACAAAAACAAACAAACAAACAAAAAACAAAAAAAGAAAGAAAAAAGAAAGAAAGAAACTATAGACTAAGCCAAGTGTGCAAGTGTGGTGGCTACACCTTTAGTCCCAGCACTCAGGGAGGCAGAGGCAGACCAGAGCTATACAGTAAGACCCTGTCTTTTTTTTTTTTCTTTTTGTTTTGTTTTTTTTTTTTTTTTTTTTTTTTTTTTTTTTTTTTTTCCGAGACAGGGTTTCTCTGTGGCTTTGGAGGCTGTCCTGGAACTAGCTCTTGTAGACCAGGCTGGTCTCGAACTCACAGAGATCCACCTGCCTCTAGCCTCCTGAGTGCTGGAATTAAAGGTGTGTGCCATCAACGCCTGGCTCAAGACCCTGTCCTTAAAAGAAAAAAAGAAAGAAAGTGTATGCTGTTGATGGGGGTGCAGAATTGGTTAATAAGAAAGGCAGGGCGTGCAGATGTGTGCGTTTACAATAGCAGTTCTCAACATGTGGGGTACCACTCTTTCACAGGGGTTGCCTAAGACCATCAGAAAACACACATATCCCGTGTTCTCAGGAACTGAGACACTGTGCCTCTCTCGGCCTCCAGGTGGTCCACCTACATGCAGATACAGGTGTGATGACATCATCACTCCAACTCCTTCACATGTACCCCAAACAAATACAGGTGTATGTGACAGGTTGGGTGCAGTAATGTCCTTATGCAGACCAGTCACACATGTGTAGAGAGCAGCTAATGTTTTGAAAGCAGCAATACTGGAGGTAAAACTACACTTTATAAATTATAATTAATGGGTAAATGTAAAATCATCAACTACTGCAAAAAAATAAAATAAAATAAAAACTGGTGTACCATGGAAACTTAATCTAGATGCTGATCTGTCTTTTTATGTTCAGCTGTGGTTGATGTGAATATTGCTCCCTTGTGATAGTTACAGGGTTATAAAAAACCAAGACAGGGCTTTTCGGGGCAGGGCTTCTCTGCATACCAGCTCTGTGTGTCCTAAAACTCACGCTGTAGACTGGGCTGGGCTTGACCTCACAGAGATCCACCTGCCTCTGCCTCCCCAGTGCTGGGATAAAAGACGTGCTCCACCATGCCTGACCAGTCATAGAACATTTTAATAAACTGTGTTGACTGAAATATGCAATGTATCATCTTTTGTCTTATAAAAGCTATTATTGTATATTATTTTCATTAGAAAACCATCCTATGGCTGGCATTGGTGGCCCATGCTTTTAATCCCAGCACTCAGGAGGCAGAGGCAGGCGGATCTCTGTGAGTTCGAGGCCAGCCTGGTCTCCAGAGCACTGCCAGGATAGGCTCCAAAACTACACAGAGAAAACCTGTCTCGAAAAACCAATGGATTATATATAGGAAAATATTAAGAAAATATAGTATTTTTTTTACAGTATGGTTTACCTCAACAATTACAGCAGGAATTGAGAAGTCATGATATTTTATTTGTTGTGAAGTTCTGTTAGCAAAATCTATGAAGCTGAACAAACTAAAATACCATTTTGATAGCAAGCATCTGAGCTCTGCTGGCAAGAATACCAACTAATTTAGAAGCAAAGCTCATGGACTCAGAAAAGCCAGACTTGACAGGTGGTAGTTATGCACGCCTTTAATCCCAGCACTTGGGAGGCAGAGGCAGGTGGATCTCTGTGAGTTCAAGGCCAGCCTGGTCTACAGAGTGAGTTCTAGGACATCCAGGGCTACACAGAGAAACCCTGTCTTGAACCCCCCGCCCCCCCCAGCCCCCCCCCCACACACAAAAGAAAGAAAGCCAGACTTGACACTGGTGGCAAGTACCACAAACAAAATACAGCAGCCACTGAAGCTTCATATTTGGTGGCACTCAGAATTGCCATAGCTATGAAAACTCACACCATTGCTCAGGATTTACTGTTGCCAGTGGTCAAAGATGGTGCTCAAGATATGAGATCAGAAGTGAATTTGTTTCATAATTAATGCAGTTTCCTTATCTAAAGACACTGTCTGCAGAAGAGTAGATGGCATGTCTGCTGATATTCTTGATCAGGTAATCCAGGAAATTGAATCTGCTGCACTTCCAACATTTATTTATTATCCAGCTTGATGAATCTACAGACGTTGCAAACTGTTCAGTTACTAGTTTACATGAGGTGTGCTAATAATGGCGATATTAAAGATGAGTTTCTTTTTTGCAAACATCTTGAAACAACAGCTACTGCACGTGATGTATTTGACACAGTTGGTTCATTTCTGAAAGAGCACACAAGCTCTTGGGAGAGGGTTTGTGGTGTTTGCACCAGCTTGCTAGGATTTCAATGTTTGGTACTCAGTAAGTCACCAGAAGTCATCGGAACTCTCTGAATGATTCATTGGCAAAAGATTCATTAGCAGTGAATGATTCATTAGCAGTGAAGATGCTGCCACAAGAGTTATAAGAAGTAATGAAAGGTGTCAGTTTTGTCAAAGTGAGCATTTTAGACAGTTGACTGTTTTGTAGCTGTGCAGTGAGTTGGATGCGTTGAACAAAGCTCCGCTGTTTCACACTGAAGTGCAATGGTTGTCCAGAGGGAAAGGGTTCAAACATGTGTTTGAGCTTTGTGATGAACTCAAAGATTTTAGATTTATTTACTTATGTATTTTTTGTATGAATGCTCTGTCTTCATACACACCAGAAAAGGTCATCAGATCCCATGATAGATGGCTGTGAGCCACCATGTGGGTTCTGGGAATTGAACTCAGGACCTCTGGAAGAGCAGCAATTGTTCTTAACTTCTGAGCCATTTCTCCAGCCCCCTCAGAAAGCAGTTGGAAGCACTTTTCAGCAATGAATGTGAGCTGCAGAAAACAGCTTACTTGGTGGACATCTTTGTCATCTTGAATGAGTTAAATTTATCACTGCAAGGACCAAATGCAGCATGCCTGGATTTGTCTGAAAAGACCTGATCATTCCAAATGAAACTTCAGCTTTGATTAAAAAGGGAAAAAAAAAAAGATGATAATAGAATTCACATGTTGTCTACCTAATCTTCTTTCTTTGAGGAACATGACATTGAACCAGACAAAAGGATATTATATTTATGTGAAAGAACACTTGCACATGAAATTTCATCATACTTTCCAAATCTACCTGACACCCCATTTGCCCCTGCCAGAAGCCCATTCACAGTCAAAGTGAAGATGTTCCCGAGAAACGGCACAAGAGGAATTCCTCACTGAAGTCACTGACAGCTGTGCAATGAGGATCTCTCTACACTGCCAGTTGCATAATTCTGGGTCAAGTGTTTGCAGTCAGATCCTGTGCTCTCTGAGGCTTTGTTGTGCTTTCTTCCATTTCCAACAACATATCTTTGTGAAACAGGGTTTTCCAGCTTGTTGGTTATAAAGTCTAAATACAGATGTAGACAGTGCACTTGCAAAGACTGGCCCGAGAATTTCTGATCTGGTGAGAAAGAAGTAGTCTCAACCTTTGCACTAAGGTTGGCTTTTTACGAATACTGTTGAAAAATATAGTTTTTTTTTTTTTTTTTATTAAGGCTGTTACCCATGCTACACCATGTTTCAAGACAAAATTTATTTGTAATTAGAAGTAAATAGTCCACAATATAGAATTACATATTATTTCTGTGGTTAGTCATTATGCTTTAATTATGTTCATTTTGTAACAATGAAAATATAGTCAGGGCTACGCAGAGAAACCCTGCCTCATACAGGGGAGACTGGTCTCAAACTTGCTATCTAGCCAAGGATGACCTTAAACTCTTGATCCTACTGATCCACTGGGGTTACAGAGTTGTCACCATGCCAGTTAGTTTAAATGGGTATTTTGAGACTGAATTTTCATTATTTGAATTTAGCCCTTTGGCCTCTTTTCTCTGTAATTTGGTGTCTTAATTGAACAAAAACTCTTATTTGAAGAATAACTATTTTATGAATTTGTTTTTGGGGTAGGATTTTATTTTTGTTGCCAGAGTGGCCTGGGACTAACTGTGTAGTCCAGGCATGGCAGTTCTCCTCCTGCCTCAACCTCCTAAGTGTTGGGATTGCTGGCTAAAGAAAGGCTTTGGGTATCTTTTTAAAAGATAATATAAATAGAATAAATACATAGTATGGGAAACAGGAGAGTCATTTTATATTAAAGAATTGTAAACTTTAGACATGATTCTGATCCATATTGGTAACCTTTTAAAAATTAGCACAAGTGACCAAGAAAAAGAAGAAGAAACAACGCAGGATTCCAACAAACGATGAGTTGCTATATGATCCTGAGAAAGATAACAGAGACCAAGCCTGGGTTGATGCACAGAGAAGAGGGTAAGAATTTAAATCTATATATGTAATCTTTACAGGAAGAATGATTTTTCCCTGCTTTTATATTTTATAGTATGTGTATTTGTTTTTACACAAACACATCAAAAACAATTTGAGGAGAAAAACTTGAATAGTTTATTTGAAAATAACCAGCAGTTTTAGTCAGACAATTGAATATTTGTTTATTTATTTACTTTTTTTTTTTTGAGGCAGGGTTTCTCTGTGTAGCCCTAATTATCCTGGAACTTGTTCTGTAGACCATGCTGGCTTTGAACTCAGATCCACCTGCTTCTGTCTGGGATTAAAGGTCTATGCAATCACTACCTGGCTAAATTTTTATTTATTTTAAAACAGATCCTCGACGGATGTTGGTGGCGCACACCTTTAATCCCAGCACTCGGGAGGCAGAGGCAGGTAGATCTCTGTGAGTTTGAGACCAGCCTGGTCTGAAAAAGCTAGTTCCAGGACAGCCTCCAAAGCCACAGAGAAACCATGTCTTAACACCCCCCCCCCCAAAACAAAACAAAACAAAACATAAAACATTAAAATAAAACAGATCTTCATGTAGCCTAGGCTGGCTTTAAAAACTTAGTATGTGGTTGGGGCTGGTCCTGCTTCTACCTTCCAAATGCTCTCTGGAATTTCAGGTTTGTGTCACCACAGTTAATTGTTGAGTTATTGATGGATCTAAACTGTCATAGTCAGTCACTTCATTTAAGAAATAGAACTTTTTAGCTGGGTGATGGTGGCACACGCCTTTAGTCCCAGCACTTAGGAGGCAGAGGCAGGTGGATCTCTGTGAGTTCCAGGCCAGTCAGGGCTGTTACACAGAGAAACCTTGTCTCAAAAAAGAAATAGAACTTTCTATTGTTCTTGTGGGACAGGGTCTTGCTATGTAGGCCTGGCTATCCTGGTACTCATTATGTATGTTGCCCTGGCTGATTTATAGCAATGCTGCCTCAACCTCCTAAATTCTGGGATGATAGGCATGTGCCACCATGCACATACCTTGCCTCTTGCCCCTACCTCTGTGGTACTAGGTTCAAACCTAGGCTCTAGCATGCTGGCAAGTGTTGCAGCACTGATCTGTATGCTCTATCTTCATGTATGCCTTTACGCCAGAAGAGGGCATCAGATCCCACTATAGATGGTTGTGAGCCACCATGTGGTTGTTGGGAATTGAACTCAGACCTCTGGAAGAGCAACCAGTGCTTTTAACCTCTATTCTGAGCCATCTCTCCAGCCCCTCGCCCCCCTTTTTTTTGCTTTTAAAAGTTGTTCAGGCTGGCCTTGAAGTCACTCTGTAGCCCAGTGGGCCTGGAACTTGGAATCCTCCTGCCTCAGCATCATCGGAAGCAGGGATTATGGGCCTGTACCAATAGGCCTGATTACAAAACTAACTATTCAGTGTTTGGTTGGTTTGTAGTTTGGTCTTTTCAAACTAACTTTTCCCTAATAGATAGGTTAAAACTTTTTTAAAGTTTTTGTTGTTTATTTCTTGAGATAAGGTCTCTCCCAGACTGGCCTTGAAGCCCCAGGGCTACTCCTGTCTCAGCCTTCCAAATGCTGGGATTATGAGTATGTACCACCATGCTTATAATTTTAAATTATTCTGAGATTAGAGTTTTAGCATCTAAATTGTTAATTTTATTTTTGGCTCTCCTGGAACTCACTATGTAGACCAAGCTGGCCTTGAATACACAGAGATCCATCTATCTCTGCCTCCCAAGTGTTTTTTGTTATTTGTTTTGTTAGTCCCAAATCCTGAGATTAAAAGCTTGTATCACCTTGCAGGCCCAAGAGCAAAATGCTTTTGAGGTTTATCTACATTGCCACACAGTACTTCTTTTTATGGCTGAACAGTGCCATCGCATGTAGTATATATCTTGATTTTTTTTTTTTTTTATCCAAATGGGATGTTTGTATTCTAACTACCTTTTGACTGTCATGAATAGTGTTGTCAACACTGATGTACAGATGTTTGTTTGAGTCCCTACTTATGTTTTTTTTGGTTATAAACCTCAGAGGAACATTGCAGGATCACATGGTAAATCTGAGTTTTAAGTTTTTGTGTGCCTGTGTGTATGGTCCTGGAGATTGAATTTATGCTGTTGAACATGCTAGGCAAGTACTATACTGCTGAGCTACACTCTCAGTGCCTAGGAGGCTGTGCTTCAGTCCGGATGGGGATGGTTATCTCTGTTTTCCAAGTCTGGAGGGTTGATGTTGCTGTGGGATCTCTATACAGTTTGCACTGTGTCTTTTTCCTGGTCTCTATTTACTTCTGTGCAGCTCCCTCCAGCGCCCCCTGGTGTTCACTTACTCAAGCTTCCTTTATTTTGTTTTTAGAGGAAACATAGTTTGGCTTGGAATTTGCTGGGTAGCTCAGGTTGGCATTGGGAGCTTTTGTTCTTCCTGCCTTAGCTTTCTGAATTTATTTTACTTTACATTTATTTATCTTAAAATTTATTATTGCTTTGCATATGTGGCAAGGCGTGCTTGTGGAGGACAACTTCTAAAATCAGTTCTCTTCTTCTGTCATGTAAGTTCTCTAGATCAAATGCAGGTTGTCAGGTTAGTGGCAAGTATCTTTACCTGGTAAGCCATCTTACCAGCTCTTCTACCTTTAGTTTTTGAACCAGAATCTCTACTGAACCTAAAGCTCTGCTTGGGTGACTGCCAGTGAGCCCCAGGGATCTGCCTGTCTCCGTCCTGCTGTCCCTCGAGAGCACTGTGGCCACAGGCCCATGTCTCTGTGTCTGTTCTTTATGTGAGGATTAGGCTTAGCTAAGGTCCTCAGATTTTGCACAGCAGGCACTTGGCTGACTAAGGGTCCCCTGAGTGCCTCCTGACCCCTTTCTAAGGCTGGTCTGGTGCTCACTGTGTAGTCCAGGCTAAATTTGTAGTCTCTCTGCTGTTGTCTCCCTGGTGCCAGGATTACAAGTGTTGGTACTTTGCCTGACCAACTTAAGTTTTTTGGTATTTCTCTGTGTAACAGCTCTGGCTGTCCTGGCACTCACTATTTTTTTTTTTTTTTTTTTTTTTTTTTTTTTTTTTTTTTGGTTTTTCGAGACAGGGTTTCTCTCTGTAGCTTTGGAGCCTATCCTGGCACTCATTCTTTAGACCAGGCTGGCCTTGAACTCAGAAATCCACCTCCCTAGTATTGGGATTAAGTTCGTGACTACAAACGTAAAATAGTTTCTTACACTTGCCTTGTTTTTGGCATCTTAAATATCTTGAAGAGCCATAGCCAGGTATAAGAAAGAGTTAGTTTCTTCTTAGAATCCACCTGAGATTTTCCTCACAATCATGCTGATATTATGGGTTTTTGGTTTGGTTTTTATGAGACATGTCTCATTTTAGCTCATACTGGCCTTGAACTCTGGATCCCTGCTTCTGTCTCTGGAGTGCTAGGATTTCAGCCATGGACCATCACATACCACCAAACTATCTACTTTGAAAGAAAATTACTGTGTGTAGTCCAGACTTAAGGAGTGAGTTAGGTTCTGCCACCTTGAAATTTGGTTTGATTGTTTTTTTGTTTTTTGAGCACTTTTTTCCCCCTACTTTCTGCCTCTCCAAGATGCTTTAGGTGAATCTTCTAAACTGTATCCTTAGAATTATCCATTTCTGGTGTTGGAGAAATGGCTTATTGGTTAAGAGCACTTGTTGCTCTTGCAGAGGACCTGAGTTTGGTTTCTAGCACTTACATGGTGCCTTACCACCATCCATAGCTCCAGTTCCTGGACGTTCCAGACCTCCTTCTAACCTCCGAGGGCACCAAGTGTGCACCTGGATACTGCAGACAAGACATTCGTACGTATAAAATAAATCAATCAGAAATGTAAATAATAATAATGAGTAATTTCTCTGAGTACTGATTCCTTTTTCTGGACTGTGACATTAGAAACCAGGATTTAGTTGATTAATGTATTTTTCCTTTTCAAATTTATTTTTAGTTACCATGCTTTTGGATTGCAGAGACCCCATCAGAAACAACAGCCTGTTCCAAACAGTGATGCTGTTTTGAATTGCCCGGCCTGCATGACTACACTGTGCCTTGATTGCCAAAGGTAAGGGACAAAGGTAAACATATAACATGGACCCGAGTGAGTGTGCCCCACGATAGAACAAACCTTCCCCAGAACCAAAACAGTTCGGTGGGCCTTTGCTTAAATCAGAATTAGACTATTTTTGTTGATTATGTAGACATTTATTTGACCAAAATCTAGAAGAGTAGTAACTATAGCATATGATACAGTTGCAAAAATTTAAAGAACAAAGTGGATTTGCTAAAAGGTTACCTCTGTGGTAGTGTTTTGCTTAAAAACAGGAGTGAGAGCTGGGCGGTGCTGCACACCCCTTAACTCCAGCACTTAGGAGTCAGAGGCAGGAGGATCTCAGTGAGTTCGAGGCCAGCCTGGTCTACAGAGTGAGTTCCAGGACAGCCAGAGCTGTTACACAGAGAAACCCTGTCTCGAAAAAATAAACAAAACAACCCCCCCCCCAAAAAAAACCCAACCAAACAAACAAACAGGAGTGAGGGCAGGGGTTCAGATAAATTAGAAGCAGATAATTTTTAGCCAGGATGGTAAGCTTGAGCTTAGCAAACCCACTAAGTTTAAAAACAAATTTAAAAATTGTTATAGAAATAATTATTTTTTTCTGGGATCAAAGTTGCTTCCCTCCTCCTTTATTTTTTATTTTATTTTATTTTGTTCTTTCAAGACAGAGTTTCTCTGTGTAGGTGTGTACCACAATCGCCTGGCTTTTCCCCTTTATTTTTATTGTGTGTTTACTGATGCTTTGCTTGCACATATGTCTGTGCATTGTATATGTGCAGTGCCCACAGGCCAGAAGAGGGTATCAAAACCCTTGGGACTGGAATTACAGATGGATGCAAGCTGCTATGTGATGGTGGAATCAAATCCAGGTCCTCTGGAAGAGCAGCCAATGTTCTTAGCAGCCAAGCCATCTCTGCAGTCCCTAAAAGTTGTTTTTAAAGCAATAGGAAAAAAAAAATGCTGTTTTCTAGTTAGGTCGCAGAGGTTGGTGGTGAAGGGACACTAACTAGCCCACTCAAGCAGGTGCCTCTGGCAGGCCTTGACCTTCTCCCGGATTCCCTCTGCCTGGCGAAAAAACTGTTAGGTTACATTCCTAAAGCTAGCCACCAAGGTCTATTCCCTTACTTCCTCCTCCTCCTGAGACTGACTTCTGAGGTCCAGCTATCAAAGTATTAAAGTCCAGCCATCAAAAGCCCCCTTTGGTTCACCTAATTAACATGCCCAATTAAGATATGCCACTGCAGGGAGCTGGAGAAATGGCTCAGTGGTTAAGAGCCTTGGCTTTTTTTTTTTTTTTTTTTGAAGCAGAGTATCTATGTAGCCCTGGTTGTCCTTGAACTCACAGAGATCCCCCTTCTTCTGTCTCCTGAGTGCTGGAATCTAAGGTGTGTGCCACTACACCCAGCCTTACGTTCCATTTAAGAAATATATGTCTCCATGGAGTGGCGGTGCATGCCGGCATTCTCATTACTTGAGAGGTTGAGACAGGAGGATTTTCAGGTTAGCTTTCACAGCTCTGTCTCAAAAAAAAAAGAAGTAAATAAATAATTCTTTCAAATTTCCTTAAATTTCCATTTCACTCCCCTGTCTTTATTTTGGTGAATATTCATGTTAGGGGTTCTCAGAGTTGATCTAAAAATGACAACTATTAAGTCCTAACTCTCCATTTCATTCTCCCTCTAGGCATGAATCCTACAAGACTCAGTACAGAGCAATGTTTGTGATGAATTGTTCTGTCAACAGAGAGGAGGTTCTAAGATACAAGAATCCAGAAAACAGGAAGAAAAAGCGGGGTGCTAAGAAGATGAGGTCTAACGCTGAGGGTCCTGTGGAGACAGAAGAGGAAGAAATCTACCATCCTGTCATGTGCACAGAGTGTTCAACTGAAGTGGCAGTCTACGACAAGGATGAAGTCTTTCATTTTTTCAATGTTTTAGCAAGCCATTCTTGAACCCTATCTCAAACAGGTAGTGGCTTCCCAGCACTGTATAAAGCAAATATGGACTCTTATTTTCTCTATCATTCAGTGACACTGATTAAAGCAGTATTTCATCTTTATGAAAATGGTTATCCACCTCTATCTCCTCACTCTTTTTGCTTTGTAATTTTCCCATGAGTAATGACGGGGCTGATCATTTCATTTTTGGTGCATCTTTGGAGACTTTGGTACTTCTTATTTATTAAATTAGCTTCCTAGAGTTAAATTGTTTTGGAGTAAGTGTTTGTTTCTTAGCGTTTGATCCATTTTCTATTGCCGTAACAAAGTACTAGAGGTTGGTGCTTTATAACGAAATGAGTTAGGGCTTAGCAAGATGGCTCTGCATATGGCGTGCAAGCCCGACAACCTGCCATCGTTCGAGCCCTGGAGTCCTCAGTGGAAGGACATGCTGACTCTCAAAGTTTCCTCTGACTGACTTAAGCATGCGTGCACGTGCACACACACTCACACAGAGGACCCGGAAAGTGGGGCGTGTTGACCATTTGGTGGGGTAACAGAATTGGGGCAGTAAGTATGAGCAAAGTTCAGTGATATGCATATGGAGTTGCCATAATGAAACCTGTTTTGAATGCTTACTAAAAGCAACATGAAATAAAACACTACTAAGACCTATTGTTCATGTCCTTTCACTTAGAAAAGAATCTTGAGATATCAGACATTTCCTGAGGCTATTTGTGCTGGACTCAGAACTGTGCTACAGTGCTCCCCTCTTACATGCATAGCTTTGAATACCTTTCTGTTCTTTTATTAGGATGATTTCTATAACTGACCTGTAACTGATTGCATCTTAGAAGACAGTGTTTTTCAGCATAGCCTTCTCATATTTTATCACTATATATATTTTTCTCTTTATGTTAGGCAGCTGTCCATAATTCTTTGAAGGATCACTTATAGCCTTCTTTTGCCTCAGCTCTCTCCTACCCTCCACAGGGTCTCCTATACCCAGGCTGCCCTGGAACTTTCCTTGTGGCTAAGGATCACCTTGGGCTCCTGATTACCCTGCTCCTACCTCCATGTTGCAGTGATTATAGGTGTTCACTAGCATGTCTACTCTAAATCCATTTTAAATGGAACATAAAATACTTGCTTAAGGGGTTTAAATAGATCTCATTGAAGCTAATTGTTCCTTCGTCAGCTTGGTTTATTGTATCATGCCCTATTGTTGTACAGTGTGGCCTCAGACATACAGAATAACACACATTCATTGTCATAATTTTTTTGTGTCAGGAACCTGGCCACACTTAAGCAGTGCATTCAACAAGGCGATAAGGAATCTGGTTAGGTAATGTGACCTCTTGGAGACTTGGCTAAGCAAGTATCTATTCCCAGTGTCTCAGGCTGTTGGCAGAGTGTGCATCCTTATAGCCACAGGACTGAAGTGCCTTTCCCCCCCTTATGGTTGTCAACCAGGAGGCAGTGAAGTTGCCATTTTCTTTTTTCCTGATTGATTAGCCAGGAGCTGCTCTCAGCTCCCAGAAGCTGTCTGCCTCCAGATGTAGAAATGCACCAACTATTACATATCACTTGTTAAGTGTTTTATGTTTCAAAGGAACACACACACACACATACACACACACACACACTCTTCTATGCCATGTGTTTCTGTATGGCAGATGTTGGCTATGCTTGTTTTGTTTGTTTTCTTAGTTCCTAATCTGAACTCAGACACTCCTAGAAGCGGTCATTGCTGTAGGCTTTGGAATCTTTACCAGAGATTTGGAGCAGAAAGAACAGGTAAAAGACTGTAATTAAGAAAGCTAAACACTTAAGAAACAGTGACATGTACCCACATCCCAATTTGAATGCTTTTTTTTTCCTTGTAAGTAATTTTTGAGTGACTTCTTTTCATTCTTGATGTTTGACTATCACTGACTCACTTGCTGAGGTTTCTTAGCAGTCATGCAGACATGGAAGTTTTTGTTGTTTGTTTTGATTTTTCCTGTACTGAGAATTGTACCCAGAGCCCTGTGCATGCCAGGAAGTGCTTTACTACAGAGCTACAACCCAGCCATATTTCTATGGGAACTCAGCTCCTAAATGTAAAATCAAAGAGGTTACCCCACTATGAACCACAAGACTCTGGTCCTTTTCTGAGAGAATGTCTCTCACCTCTATTGTGAGAGCAGCCTTATATACAAACTTACAAAAACCCCAGGTCAGAGCGTTCACAACAGGATATTGATCCCAGTGGGGTGAGGTCAGGAAAACAGGAGGTACCTGTGGTTATGCTGGAAAACAACTCTTAGAGACCTCATGGGGGCTGGGTTCCAAAACTCAGGAGGCAGAAGCAGGCACATCTCTGAGTTCAAAGCTAGTCTGTTCTATGTAGCAGGTTCCAGGTCAGCCAGGGCTACATAGAAAAACCCTATCTCAAAAAGGCGGCAAAAACCCTTCAAAATTAAAATTAAGTAAATACGTTTTTAAGTATCCCTTATGCTTATAGTTTTACTTTAACTGGAATCAATGCTTGCTCCTACCCTGTCCACTCTCCTATGTAATGGAAAATTTGGAGCTCTACACTCAGCTGCAATGCTGGTTTGGGTGTTCCTCAGAATTAATACGTTGGGAATTTAATTCTTTTTTTTTTTAAAGATTTTATTTATTTATTATGTATACAACATTCTGCTTCCATGTATATCTGCACACCAGAAGAGGGCACCAGATCTCATAACGGATAGTTGTGAGCCACCATGTGGTTGCTGGGAACTCAGGACCTCTGGAAGAGCAGTTAGTACTCTTAACCTCTGAGCCATCTCTCCAGCCCCCCTGGGATTTTAATTCTTAAAGCCATATGATAATGGCTTTTGGAGAGGGGCCTCTGGGAGGCAGGATTAGATGAGTCCCCTCCCCCCATGATGGCATCCATGGTTTTGTAAGAAGAAGAAACCTTTGCCATCATGGCAGTTGCTTGGTCCTGCCATGTGGTGCCATTACGTTATAATGCAGATGCCGATGCCATGGGCCACAGAGTCCAGCCGTAACTCAGAGTGGGAAGCTATTACACAACCACGAACACCAACAAGCAGCCGTCCCTGGGACAGACCTGGGACTGGCAAAGTCCCAGCACTAGCCTTCCAGCTTATCTGGGAATGGAGAGTTGTGATGACACTGGCAAACCTTATGTAAAGGAGTAAGTTACCCCAAAAAGGACTGAAGAGACCAGCTTCCCTTTTGGCAGCCATAACGGCCGAACACGTGCTTGTCTGACCTTGTCCTAGACACTAGAAAGTCAAATGCCTGCCTCGTGACAAGGAACCAATCAGAAGTTAGCTGGTGGCGCTATACTTTACGACCCTGGGTGTGCTTTACTGACAAGCGCACAGCAATGATGCAGAGAGCATAGGAACCACCCTGGGAGGGCCTATGGGCCATAACAACCAGTTGGCCAATCAACACAGGGCAAGCCCTCCAACCCTGGAGGCACACCAATCGTGAGCCTTGCGTACCCCTAGACACTCCCCTTACGCTGTCCTATAAGATCTCTTGGGAGGCCCTAGGAGCTGTCTTTTGCTAGCCATCCGCCATGGCGGGGGGGGGAAAGACCCGAGCTAACATGGGGTTAGCTTGTTAAATTACAATAAAGCCTCATGCAGTTTGCAGCAAGCTCTTGAATCCGCCTGGTGATTGGGGTGACCGCAGTCGTGGCCTGGGACCCCAGATACCTGAGTTTTCCGGGGGTCTAACAGGACTGTGATATGCTAGCATTTAATCACTGTGAGAGGAGTCTTAAGTTTGTACTATCACCTGAAAACCAGGTAGTTCGTGTGATCATTTAAAGATGACTTTTTTTTTTTTTTATTTTTAAGTTCAGTGGTTGGAAATAGGCCCCCAATGGGGTTAATTTTAGCTTAATATGTAAGAGGTCTGAAAAACAGACCTCATGTACAGTTTTTTTGTTTGTTTTGTTTTTTGTTTTTTGTTTTTTTTTTTTTTTGTTTGTTTTGTTTTTCGAGACAGGGTTTCTCTGTGGCTTTGGAGGCTGTCCTGGAACTAGCTCTTGTAGACCAGGCTGGTCTCGAACTCACAGAGATCCGCCTGCCTCTGCCTCCCAAGTGCTGGGATTAAAGGCGTGTGCCACCAACGCCCAGCCTCATGTAGAGTTTTATAATTATTTTATAGTGAAGGAGTTTCAGAGACATAGTACTTATGAAAGTCTCTATAGGGAACCAAATGTCTGAAGCAGATGAGTTAGGAATAATATTTGAGAAGCAGAGCTGAGGGCTTGCTGTATCACAGGCCTTGAGAATGGCAGAGGAAGCTGAGAAGCCACAGTTCAGTTGTGGGAGTAGAGACAGACCCTTGATGTATACTTACAGATGTTTGTCCATACAGGGCACAGAACTACCTCAAGGGGAAGAGAAGTTGCACCAGCCTAATAGGGCTATCTGTATGCTTGGATTCTAGACATTCACTCTGTAGACCAGGCTGGCGTCGAACTCACAGAGATTTAGTTGCCTTTGCTTCCAGAGTGTTGAGATCAAAGGTGTGTACCACCACCACCCCCAGCCTAATTTTATTATTTGTAATCATGTCTCTCTCTCTCTCTCTCTCTCTCTCTCTCTCTCTCTCTCTCTCTCTCTCTCTCCTGCGCGTGTGTGTGTGCGCGCATGTGTGTGTGTGTGCATGTAGGTGCCTGGGGAAGCCAAAGGCACTGAATGGCCCTGGAGCCGGAGTTACAGGCTGTTGTGAACTGTCTGAACTTTGGTCCTCTGGAAAAGCAGTACATCCTCTGAATTGCTTAGCCATCTTTCCATCTCCCTACTCCCCAACTTTTGGAGGCTGGGCAGTAGTGGCGCATGCCTTTAGTCCCAACACTTGGGAGGCAGAGGCAGGCGGATCTCTGTGAGTTTGAGGCCAGCCTGGTCTACAAGAGCTAATTCCAGGATAGGCTCCAAAGCTACACAGAGAAGCCCTGTCTCGAAAAACAAAAAACAAAACAAAAAAAGATTTACTTTTGGGACTATATTACAGCTATCTGTAACTCCAGTTCCAGGGGATCCCGTGTCCTCTTCCAATTTTCACAGACACCAGGCATGAAGGTGGTTACACATACATAGATGCAGGCAAAACACCCATGCATATAAGCAACATTTAGTGTGTGTGTGTGTGTGTGTGTGTGTGTGTGTGTGTGTCTGTCTGTCTGTCTGTCTGTCTGTCTGTCTATATAATGCTAATGCTATGTGTGTGCAGGTAACTTATGAGTCC